TTGGAAATGTTGTACAAAATACTCTCTATCTTGGGCGCTTCATGGCAATTTTCATCGTTTGGCCTCTGCAAAGGAATCGAAGCACCAGTATCCTCTTCTTTAACGTGAGATTCATCAAAGTTTGTGGCCAGTTGTTCAGATGGAAGTGGACCCGGGGCTAGCTGACCACCTTGCTTCCATTGTAACCGTTGTTGTGCGCATAAGGAAGGATTGTGAGAAAGATCCGTGCACGGAAAAGAAACCCTCTCACTATCGGAAGGAAAGGTATGAGAACTAACAGGAATATCAGGGTGTATTTGACCTGATGAGACATCGGAAAGGAGAGAGGTAAGAACACTAAGAGGCGGGTCGTAATAAAGGACGAGATCTGTAAATTGAAAAAAAGATAGAATTATATTTTGCATACTTAATTGATATCTAATGACTGAGTTTCGAAAACGACTTATTTCTATAAAAATTAATTGATATTGATCTATTGTTATAAAAGATGTATTCACCCTATTTCGTTTAAGGCGACGAAGAACCGGTAGTTGATTTTTCCCATAATTATATGAGTAGAGCTGACGCTTCCCCAGCCTTGCTTCCCCAAAACTTGTTCTCACCCAGAGTGGACTACAGTTTCGACCATCCCTAGGTCTTAGCAACACCCCCAGCGGGAATCCTACTGTAACAGCGTAGAATGTGAGCTTGACACGCTAGCCACTCAGCCAGATTGCCGCGAGTACCTTTGGGTCACAGGAGATATGTGAATTTCAAGGAAGGCCAGGTCTTTTTCCCATATCACATTCTTTGGTGAAATTTTCAATTAAGCAAACTGACTGACTTTATTTGTCGTTAAAAATAAATAAATAAATTTATTTATTTATTTTCCTGCTTAAAAACGGGAAAAGATATGTACTAACTTGCTTATTCACTCATGGAAATATTTAATCATAATAGCTTGCTTTTAACATTTCCAATTGAGTTAATTCTAAATCTATGTATTTAATGAATTAATACAAAGAGCTTATGATTCTTATGGAAAATCTGTCAAGGGTGTCCCAAAGAGGATGCTGGGAATAAGATGGTTAGATAAAGAATTACGCAAATATATTTCCATAAATCCTTATCTACATGACTAATCGACAATAAGAGTCGAGGCTGTAAAGTGTTACAAGGACAAAATTTTAAAAAGAGAAAAGAGAGTGAAAACGGAGTGCTTACTTTAAAGTCGGCGATGTATTTGCCCTATATAGCCACACTGTGGAATGCAACAAGAAATTCTTATTCAAGAGCTATGCCAGTTTGCAGGGTAGATGAAGAATGATTTCCAAGGAACATTACACATTCAAAAATGGCTAAATAATAAAACATAAGAATCTCTCTGATACAAGATAAATACGTTCATGGCTAAGTAAATGCTAAATTCTGTCTGAATAGTGAACCGAGTTAGCGAACCTCCCAATTTTATAGAAGTTGGTTGACCTCGTCGTCAACCAGGGATCTACGAGACAATGATGGGATCTGGATTGGAGGCCCGAGTCGAATCAGCCGATCGAATGAGAGGGGTCGGGGTAAATAGCAAGTGTGATGAGGCCAGACTAGTTTTGCCACAAAAGGGCACACGTTTTGGCGATTGAAATGTAAACATGCCAGAAGTTGTGATAGGGCGACAGTGGGATAAGAGGGTAAAGAGTAGATAGATAGGCCAGGACAGAAAGAGAAGTGATAGTGTAATCGTTTTCGGCAGAACGTTTGTCGAGGAATTGACTTCACTTGTATTTTTTACGAGTTCATAGTTGGTGCGGAGAATGGCAAAACTTATTGATGATGCCGATTACGATGCCGGCGAAACGTTTGAGAATGTAGCCAGCCCACTGTCTGATGCTGGGAATCATGACAACTACTATGGCAGACGACTTCAACTAGGTACGTTCTACTAAGTCCCCCTGACAACAAGACCAAATTGCTACGAAGTCAACCCACTTCTATAAATCGAAAGGAGACTGCAACTATACCAGAGACCACAACATCTTGGTCTTCATATATTCAATTCCAAATTTTATGTTTTTCTCTTGAATTAAATTAAATTACAAACATTCTTATTATTTCAAAAAAACCTTTTAGATCAGTTTCACTTGACCGGAGAATAAAAGCCTTCTTAATAAGCAGGTATTTCCTTAAAGATATAAAGACCAAAAAGTTGTGGCCTCTGCTATGGTCGCAGTCTCCTTACGATTTATAGAAATGGGTTAACCTCGTTGTCGAAACTGCGTCTTGTTAGCAGAGGCTTAATAGAGCGCACCTAGTCCGAAGTCATCTGCCATAGTAGTTGTCATGATTCCCAGCATTAGACAGTGAACGTGGTACATTCTCAAACGTTTCGCCAGCATCATCAGTGAGTTTTGCCATTCTCCGCACCAAACTACGAACTCGTCAAATAGACAAGTGAAGTCAATCCCTCGACAAACGTTCTGCCGAAAGCGGTTACACTATCACTCCTCTTTCTTTCCTGGCCTATCTATCTATTCTTTACCCTCTAATCCCAGTGCCGCCCGATCACAATTTCTCACTTTTTTACATTCCACTCATCAAAATGTGTGCCCTTTTATGGCAAACTAGTGTGGCCTCATCACACTTGCTATTTACCCTAGCAAAATGGACCAAAGAAACATACGAGCCGTGCAAAGCCGATGGCAGAGCGGGGACTATGAAAGGACAGTAAGGACGATGAAGGATTCACAAAAGTGGATATGCCTACTTTCCTGCGAAATAACTCAAAAACTACGGCCAATATTGAGTAAATGTAATATTCGGGTGGCCATGAAAGAAAAATCAACATTTTTTACAAGTCTACCAACGCAACATGAAAGGGTAGACAAATTGGATTGTTTAGGAGTTTACTGTATATCATGCGGCGCCTGCAACCACTGGCAAAACAGTGAGAAAAATTAGCACACTAATCAAGGAGCATCAGAGGCTCTGCAGGAAAATGGAAACCGAAAAATCAGAACTAGCGGAACACATCGCACAGACTGGACACAAGATCAATTGGAAGGCAACAGAAAGAAGAGCCTCATACGGTGACAACACAAGGAATCAGAAGATTAGAGAGGCCATTGACATCCTTGGGGATAAAAATCTAATGGACAGATTGGAGGAAGGTAGAGTTAACGATAACTTTGCCTACTGCCTAAGCAAACTCGAAGAAAACAAGAATAGAGCAAGAACAGCAAAAAGTAGACGTCTGGATCAAGGATCTACCGCTAACCGGAGGAAAAGAGATCGCGATGAAGAAAGTGGGAGGCAGGAGTTTTAGCCAATTAAGCGAAGACTTTGTCAGTGAGTGATTTAGAATAAACCAGTAAAACTTTAGGGGCCGGGCAGTCAGGGAGCTGGGCAGACGGATAAGCAAACCGCCAGGGAAATTCGGCGTTATACCCAAAATACACTAGAAATCCACTTGAGATGCCGCATGCGACCAGAGATAGGCGTCCACAATTTGCTCAGATAACATAGGCTTAATCAAGGAGAGGACCCGTGAAGAGAAGGCCTGCTATCTGCAAGCATAGGAATCAGAGCTTAGGCGCTCTGCTCAGTGAAGCGGTAGTGTACGTGCTTCTAGGGCCTTGAGAAATGGCGCCTGGGATGAAATGCACACAGGGAATGGAACCGAAGGAAATTGGTTAACCAGAAAATAAGGAACGGATCTACGAGACAATCAGGGGATCCGGATTGGAGGCCCAAGTCGGATCAGCCGATCGAAAGAGAGGGGTCGGGGTGAATGGCAGTTGACGAGACCACATTAGATTTGCCACAAGAGGACACATTTTGACGAGTGGAATGTAAACAAGTTAGAAGTTGTGATAGGGCGGGAGTCGGATAAGAGGGTAAATAGTAGATAGATAGGCCAGGACAGAAAGAGGAGTGATAGTGTAACTATTTTCGGCAGAACGATTGTCGAGGGATTGATTTCACTTGTATCTGACTAGTTCGTAGTTTGGTGCGGAGAATGGCAGAACTCACTGATGATGCTGACTATGATGGCGGCGAAACGTTTGAGAATGTACCAAGTCCACCCTCTAATGCTGGGAATCATGGCTACTACTATGGCAGACGACTTCGGTCTCTTAAGGGATTGCCTTGTTTTAAAGTAAAAATCACATCCATTCTCGCCAAATTCAATCTGCATTGTTCACCTATATCAACCTTCGAATTGACGGAGTATAGTAAGGGCAGACATGCACCTCAGATAAGATAGTGTCCAAAAAAATATCTCTAAGAAGTAAAATTAGTAATCTGACATAAAACACAAAACAGGCATATAGAACTACCAGAATCGTAAGCGATAAATAACCTACCTCCACTGGATTGCACAACAAGTGGCGGCCATGCCTCATTGAAATTGAGTTCATCGCTTATCTCGTTTTCCTCATATTCTCTATATTGACCGTTTATTTCCTCCTCGGCAGGTATCAAATATTCATCAAAAATCAATCGTCTGACAGTTTTTCTCCCTTCATTAAATATGGGAATTGCCGTACTAACCTCAGATGATGTGATTTCTGAAGTTTTTCTCGTTATTGTTTCAGGTATGAATAAAGAAGTAGAAGAAATTCCAGAATTAGTAGTAGTGATGTCAAAATTTGTACTACGATTCTGCCTGTCTAGACTGAAGTGGTCTGGTACCAAATAGGAACTTTCGGGCCAAGCAAATGATAAAGATTCGTCAATAGGAACAGAAGCACTCTTTAACATATTTGTCTCTTTAGTACGGTATGAATCATAAGTGCCCGTTACTGTCGAATCAATGCCAGCATCGTTACGATTCGCAGCACAGTAATTTTCCTCCTCTGTTTTGTCGCTAGTTATAACACAAATACTATGCCCGTCCTCATAATTAACTTGTGAATCTTTAGTAGTGCATTGATGCTTCTCAAGTGAAGCATTGGAAGAGGGGCCATCTGCTGGAAATGACTGCTCGAGTATGCCGGCCAGTTCAGAGCCAGGGCGAACGCCATCGAGAAAGATCACACTCTTGCCGGAAGTCGTAAGTTGGTCAGGTAGATTGCTAGCTTCCTGTCGAGTCCTCTTCAAGGCTGAAGGAAAGGAAGAAACGGCAGACACCTTTGATTTGGCTAAAATTGAGATTAGAGTGAAGAAATAAAAGATATTTGTTCTAATTAGGCAACAAAAAATTTCAAACATTTTTCTAATAAAGCCGCATTACGAAGAGATATGAAATTATATGGAAATTAGCTTGAATATAATAACCTAAAACCAAACATTTTTGCAGAATATATATAGTATCATAGACATTGGAGCACATAATATAGTAGATATATTTAACATGATGGTATAGCCTTTGCTTTGTATCGAAATGTCTTTTAGCTGTAGAGTTAGACTGGCTCCATTTTGGTATCGTTATCATATTTTCAGGAAGAATTCGAAAGATGCCCTCATCCATGGTTCCTTTAGCGTCGGAATATTGATTGGGTACAATGCCAGCTTACCTCTTCCAGGAATCATTAACATACTAGAGAGTTACTAATCTATTTATAGCAGACTCTTTACAATATGTTAGGGGGGTATGGATGAAATAGGGTATAAAAATCAATATGAAAAGTGGATTAAGCAATTGGTGTACATTTAAGATGCCTTCGATTAGTCTATACAGATCATAAAGCTTATAAGTTCGCTATTTGGCTCTGGAATAAACATGAAAGCATGATTCTAGTAATATGAGAGGTATTCACCCTATTTCATTTAAGGTGATGAAGGACTGGTAGTAGAATTTTCCCACAATGATATGAGTAGAGCAGACGTTTCCATTAAATTTCACATTGCCTTGCTTTCCCAAAAGTTGTTCTCATCCAGGGTGAACTGCAGTTTCGACCTCGCATCGGTCTTATCATCACCCTCAGAGGGAGTCGAACCGTGACGATGAGGCATATGAGCTTGACACGTTAACCAATGTGACCGAGTGGTTAACATGTCAAGCTCACATTCTGTGCTGTCATGGTTGGACTTCCGCTGGAGGTGTTGCTAAGACCTATGCGAGGTCGAAACTGCAGTCCACCCTGGATGAGAACAACTCTTGGGAAAGCAAGGCAATGTGAAATTCAAGGGAAGCGTCAGCTCTACTCATATCATTGTGGGAAAATTCTACTACCAGTCCTTCATCACCCTAAACGAACTAAGGTG